CTAGGCGTCTCACTCGCCCTCGCCAAAGGCAAGAAGGAGAAATGTAGGACTCCCAGGTCTGACCAGGAGATGGCAGAAAATAGCTTAGAGCGAGAGGCCCTACGCTAGATAAATAAATAAACTTGAAGATGTGTAGACTTCAGCTTGCAGAATCTCCATGCTGGCTGGGGAATTCTGGGAGTTGAAGTCCACACCTCTTAAACTTCCCAAGGTTGAGGAACACTGTCCTGCATCACTCGTGCGGAAATTCTCAGCGAGGGTGCTATTTTTTAAACGGTTAGCATTGGGATTCCTCAACTTCCTCGTGGGTATCTTGAGTCCCTCTCTCGCCTCCATCCTTACAAAGCTTCAGCGGGTTTTCTACCAAGTTCACAACCGCGTGTAGCCTTCTCCCTCTCTTCGATATGCTAGAGCTACCATATCTAGAATGTTCGGTGTATCTTCGCTGCCATCCGGATGTTGATAGCCCTCATAATGTAAAAATAATTAAATGAATCAATTTAATAATTAAACGCCTGGCTTGCATAGACAGGAATACGCATGCGTACGGGGAAAAGCTCCCCCTCCGATTCCATCTTTGAGTTGGGCATAATGAGCCAATCGATGTTCTGAACTCCTCCCCCTACGCCCTCCTTTGTTCCCCGCCCTCCATCTTTGAAAAGGGCAGAGTGTGGGCGCTGGTCTCATATCTTGTGAGGGCGGTCGGAGGAGGCGGAGTCTTGGGGGTGGGGAGGGGGAGGTGGCGGTGGCGGTTGTTGTTTAGAAGAGGAGGAGGAGGAGGGGGCGGCATAAGTGTCCTGGGAAGGGTTAAAGGTGAGAGGTCAGGATTCCGGCTGCTGACCCCCAAGGGGGCTGGGGAGGGGAACCGGTCTCCGGTGCTTAAGCGAGGAAAAAGAATTAAGAGACAGGAGAAGGTAATATGCGTCCCCCCTCCCGCCGCTTCCTTTCGGAGCCCTGCTCGGGGGGCTGGGGAGAGGAAAGAAAGATTTGTGCCCGTGGGCGTCCCTTCTTCCTCACAGTGCTGTCTGTCTGTCTGTCGGTATGTGTCCCCCACCCCCACCCCCTGCTTTTATTCCAGGGCTGTATCGTTTGCTGTGTTGCCTCTTTCTCAGTGGCCCTTTTTGCTGTGCCCCATTGGAAAAGGGGGCCTTCCTCCCTGTCGGCGTGGCCCTCTGCCGCCCCCCGCCCCCCTTGCATGCTCCTTCCAGAGCAGTCTTGATCATCTGAACCCAACTTTCTGCCCCGCTGCCCTCCTTGCCAAGCAGACCCCAACTGCTGGCTGCTTGCCTCTTGCAAGCCCACCACTCCGGCTGCTTCTCCCCACGAGAGGAGCCAGAGGTCCAGCCTCTTTGGCTTTTCCAGATGTGCTGTGGCCCCTCTTGGTTTTCCTATAGGCTGTTAATTGTGGCTTCTTAACTTTCTTGAACTCCTGCTCTATCCTGGTAAATGCCAGGTGTTCTGAATTCAGGCCCTGGTTACTCTACGCTGCTAAGCTGAATTCCTCTCTGAGGCAGACCAGGTTTCTTGGCTGCCTGTTCATTCCTGTTCTCCCATAAAAGTGCCCCAGGAAGAACCTGGGCTGTGACATTCAGCTGATTAATTGGTTAGGTAAATCAACTAAAAATATGTTACTTTTTGATTGGGCAAAAGCAACTGTAGGCAGCAGATGCTGTCTTTAAAAAAGGCATCATGTGAATTTGAATGCCTGTTGCAGTGCGGTTTTTGTGTCGCTTAGAAACAGGTGCTTGTTTCCTTCCTGTGAATATTTAATATTTAAATCAGCTCAGCTTTTTAACTATGGATGAGTTCTCTTCTGTTGTGCAACGGTTTAACCTCAGTGTCCTTCTCATTTTGTTTGCCTGCAGGATGACAGATATGGCAGATAATCATAAGGAGAATTGGGCAGCCCTGGTGGCTGCAGCGGAACAGTACCGGCGTCAAACAGGCAACGAAATTGTTTTGCTCACAGCCTTCCAGGCAACCCCCCCTGGCAACTACAGCTATGCGCAGCATGGGAGTGGGGCTCTGGCAGATGCTGTTCAACGCTACCTCGAAGATATTGCAGTGGTTCACAAAACCACTGCTTTCACCTATGCTGCCCGCCCTCCCTCCACCCCTCGTCCACCTCCCCCACAAGGATCCTACTCCCAGAGTTACCCTCCTACCTATGCTCCAGACGAACCTGCCCCACACAGGACGCCTACGTTCCAGGGGGCCTTGCCTCAGGCTTCTGGAGGCCAAGAAGCTAAAGATGAAGATGAAGAAGGGGACAGGAATACATTGACTGAACTGGAACAACCGGGTGGGAGAGAGCCTCCTAGTGACACTACTGGTATGTCTCTGTGCATTGAGTTTGTTTAAAGTATTTATAGCTTGTCTTTCTATAAGTTATTTCAAGTAGCTTGCAATAAATATACAGTGGTACCTCGGTTCACGAACTTAATTCGTTCCACAATTCTGGTCGTGAACCGATTTGGTCGCAAATCGAATCAAATTTTCCCATAAGGTTCAATGTAAATAAGGTTAATCCGTTCTGAACCATATGTATTTTTTTTTTTTTTACCACAAAAATATGAAACAAAGTACAGGCAGTCTCGCCTAGAGGAAGCCATGATCACGTTTCAGAGCAGGGAAGATGGCCGTGGGTCGTGTTCGTCACCCGATTCGAATCAAATTTTCCCATAAGGTTCAATGTAAATAAGGTTAATCCGTTCTGAACCATATGTATTTTTTTTTTTTTTACCACAAAAATATGAAACAAAGTACAGGCAGTCTCGCCTAGAGGAAGCCATGATCACGTGTCAGAGCAGGGAAGATGGCCGTGGGTCGTGTTCGTCACCCGATGCGGAGTTTGCGAACGGAAGCAAAATTTTGTGAATGCTGTTGTTCGTGAACCGAATTGTTCGTGAACAGAAGCGTTCGTGAACTGAGGTATTACTGTATAGCTGTCAAAAATCAACTCAGTAGGCTGCTCAAAATCACCCCAAAGGTTTTCCTGAAAAGCCAGGCTTGGACAGCACTCTGGAAATTATAGCAAAGAGGTAAAGACCCATGGCTATACATACAGGTAGTCCTCGACTTACGACCACAATAGGGACCAGAAAATTTATCGTTAAGTGAGGCATCATGAGACTGCACCCAATTTTATGACCTTTTTTGCTGGGGTTATTATGCGAATCACCGCAGTCATTAAGTAAATCGCACAGTTCCCCATTGACTTTGCTTGTTGAAAGCCGGCTGGGAAGGTCACAAACAGCAATCACATGACCCTGGGACACTGTGACAATCGTAAATACAAGCCAGTTGCCAAGCACTCAAATTTTGATCACGTGACTGC